CTGTCTGTACGTACACAGGCCTTCCTGGCAGAGGGCCTGCTGTCCCTGCCCAGGCCTGGGCAGTGGGTAGCAGGGTGTGTTTGTGTTTGAGAGGAGGTGGCAGGCAGCAGGAGGCCTCTGACTGTCCTGAGGTAAAAGCCCAGGTGCAAGTCTCTTACTCACTGGGCCAAGTGTGTTAACCCCTACCCAGACACACCCCTGGCCCTGGCAAGAACTCCCCTCCTCCATCCCTGTGGATCTGTGAGCCCACCTTCCACGTTGGCCCTAAATACAGATGAAAAAGCAGAGAGAGAAGGGTGGACTTACACCCCAAACCCAGGACAACTCCATGGGCGTAGATGTGTTTCCAAAATCGAGACTGGAGAGAAGTGAGGGTAGAAATCTGAGAGGTGTGGAATTGAAGAGGATTCCCCAGGGAGAGGGTGCAGGAAAGGGAACCCAGAACCCCCCCTCTGCCTCACCCCAACTCTCCCCCTCCCCCTGGTGGGTCCCTTAGTAAGTAGGCCTCCCAGAGGTGTCAGGGGCTAGGTGTTGTGTATGTGTTGGGAGTGGTCAGAGGCTTGTCTGGGAGAGGGTCTGCGTGCCTGGCCCGGCTGCCTCTGCTGACAAGCTGTCTGCGAAGAATGTAATTCACGCGGTCGATGGGCTCTTTGATTAGTTCAATCGCCTGAATAATCGTTTAATCAATAAAGCATTTCATTCCTCAGCCAGGCGGGCCTGGGTGGGGCTGGGGGGCCCCAGGTTGGCCAGAGTTTAAAAATCCGGAGAGCCACGCCCCTATTTCCCACTGGATTGCGGTAAAGGCAGCCTGCTGGGAAAGGGCCGACAAGACCTCTCAGGTAACACTGACTTCTGCCTTTCTGCACCAGCCTGGGCCCGGCTGGGGAAGAGGAGAGAGCTGAGGAGCTGGCCAGGCTGGCGGCATCCAGGTCTGGTTTTGGGTTTTTGCATGGGTTTCTCCCCTCTCGCAACTTCGAGGCCTTTTATGGACCGCTTGACCCCCCCTTTGCTTCCTGTAGGACTGTATCCCATTCCTTCTCTTGACCTCGGTTTCCCCATCTGGAGAATGGGGAAGGAGTGTATGCCCTTCTACCTCTAAAATCGGGTAGGGTCAGCCCTGAGCGGGGAGCCACTTAAGGATCCTCTTGTCTAGCCTCTTCATTGTGGTACCAGAAAGGGAAAACTGAGGTCCAGAGAGGGGCAGGGGCTTGTCTGAGATCACACAGCAGGAGGTGTGGAAGGAGGAGGACTGGAAGGCCACTTCTCTGCCCTTTGACCTGTCATTCCTGCTGGGGGAGGAGACAGAGTCCCAGCCTCCAGAGGCCCCTTGGGGAAAAACTGCTATGGGACAAGCTTGCTGAGGTGGGGATGAAGCGCCTGAGGCCAGGGAGCCCAGGACAAGCTGGAAGCTGCCTGGTGGACCTTGGCACCCAGTCCGCCAGCTTTGGACTGAGTTTGGCCCAGTGATGACAATACTCCCCATCCATGGGTCTCTGTCCTTCAAAACCTCGGGAAGCCTCCTCCCAGGGGTTCTTCTCCCCATTCCACACGAGGGGAAGCTGAGCCCCGCCCCCCAAGTCTTTGGGAGTGAGAAAGGTAGTCCCAGAGCCCCTGGCCTTCAGGGTTCGCTGGTAAAGAGAACAAATCCTGACAAAGGCAGTTTACACAGTTCTTGAAAAATCTGGTTAATTCTCCCCTTTTTTCATCCACTTCAACAATTCCTACAAACAGACCTGGGCGAGGCAGAGCAAACCCCTGCTCCAGGCGCAGGAGTCACGCAGGAGTCGCTCTGACCGGATTAGCGGCGTAACCTCGGGTCTCTTTGATGCTTTTGAAATGTGGGTTAGAGAGCAGCCAGCTAGCGGGACAGCAGCATCTCGGACTGTCCTGAACTGAGCAGCCAATCTGAACCCTGCAGGCCTCGCTTTGCGCGAAGCAAGAGCAGGGAAATGGGCTGGACCTGGGCTTTGGGAGCTGGTCTCAGGCCCACAGAGCGCTCCGGCAGCCCCTGGCCCTGACGCCGCCGGCGCTGGACGGGCGGACTGGGGGAGAGGAAGGGAGGCGGGGAGGCGGTGTGTTCCGGGTAATGCCAGGTTTGTGTCTGAAGACCGAGGGGACGTCCTCGGAAGATGTTTTGACTTCTCAAACGTTCTCAAGCGGGCTTTCTTTCAATAGCAAAACTTTCAAAGGCAATTCGATTTACGTAAATCGAGTTTCTTCCGGGATGGTTTCTTTTCCCGTCTCCCGCCTCCAGCGCTTAGCACAGGGCCCGGCCCAAAGTCGTACTGCGGGGAGAACGCACCCCCGCGACTGTGGCGCACCGCGAGGCCCGCTAGTCTCTCTCCTGGACCCAGACTCGTGGGCTCGTGGGCTTCCAGGGACAGGACTGAGGTGCAGAAGACCAGCTCCGTCAGGGAATCGCTGTGTAATCTCGGGCTAGTCACAGAACTTCTCTGGGCCGCTGTTTGGTGGCTGTAAGACCGGGCTGGGTGGCCAGGATATCGGGTCTGGTGGCACCTCTTGGCGTTAGAAGTTCCCGGAGGCCGGCCGCTCGGGTGGCGGTGGATGACCCCCACACAGAGGGGACCCCCCTCTGCTCCGCGGACCGCAAAGGGGCTGCTCTCCGGCACACGTTGGGCAGCCCAACGCCGTCCTGAAGCCGAACGCCTTCTGTCTGAAATGGGAATCCGAGCTGTTCCTGTCTAGGTTTTGTCAGCGGTTCCATCCCAGCCGGCAGTGCTCCGGGCATTGTGTCCAAGCCTCACCGGTATGGGACGGAAAATCAGTTTGTGTTGGCAGATCCTCGCTAGGTCTCTTGATTTGGTAGCACCCCCCGCCCCCGCCCACCACCACCAAAAAAAAACACCTCTCCACCATCCTGAGAGTGGTCCTTCTGCGAAAGAGATTCCCAGGCCACAGCCTATCTTCTGGCCCGGACTTGCTATGTGACCTTGGACAAGTGCATCCCGCCTCCTCGGCCTCAGGTTCCGCATCTGTAAAATGGGGAAAGCATAGCCTCAGGGTCCTTTTAGGTCTAAGACTTTAGAATCTGAGTTTCTAGGCCTGAACTCAACGAGCGTGGGGTTTGAGGTAGAGATGTCACTGGCTGGGTCCCTCAGGTGTCCCCACACTCCCGCCTCTCCCGTGGGAACTCAGAGCCGCCACATCCAATTCTAGTCACTTCCGATCCACTATGCGCCACCGGTAGAGCGAAGGCGGGAACCCCAACTCATCCTGGTCCCTCTCCCAAGGTTGCCATCTTCCTAGGGGGCGAATATCCGGACAGGCAGGGTTCCAGACAAAGGAGAGAGACCGCAGCCACCCCACCCCAGTGCACACTGCAACCTTCTGGGCCCCCAGAGGCCGGCCAGGGGCCGTTTTCTTCAGCTGTGCCCCGGAGAGGGTGGGGACGGTATCAGAGGCGGAAGCTTATCGACCGTTCTGGGGCAGCTGGGTCTGGGACAGGAACAGAAGGTGGGTCCGACGGCCGACCCAGTGTAGGGGTGTGAAAAATGGGACAGAAGTAGAGACAGGGGAGACTGAAGCAGAGAAAGACCCAGCGGTCCTCCTAGAGTCAACTTGGGCTCTGTCCTCCTTACAAATCCAGGTCTGGAGCAGGCGTTTCAGACCCTTGTTTTGGTGGATTTATGTTTAATATTAGAGGATCATCAATTATGAATTCAAAACGGTGGGTCTTGGGATCACTACCACGAGCTGCTGGGGCAGGGGAGTCTTCAGCGTCTCTGCCAGGGCTGGGCTCTTGCACGTGCAGGTGCTCACAGTAATATTGTCACCTGGTGTAGAATGGCTGCCACATGCCTCCTTTTCAAAGTCCAGTTCATTTGATTGTGGTCCCAGGGCCTCACTCCCCCCAGAAACTGAAACTCGCTGGTCAAAGATCCTACTCTTCTGGACCAGGAGAAGGAGAGTTCTTCTAGAAATCCATCCGTTTTGTCTTAAAAGCGACAAGAACTTCCCCTGGAGGGGGAAGGTCGGATTTTCTCAATAGCTGAAAGCTGCAGCGTGCTAGCACGCCTGGAGCGGCTTTGCGCGGCCCTTGCAGACAGAACACGCCCGCCTGCCGGCCCGCCCACTGCCCACTTCAGGCACCCTCATTAGCACGGACGCGACTGGGTTCACTTAGTTCCCAAGAGGCCTTGCACCGGATGCAGAATTGCCTCTGCGAACGGAAGCCTTCACTATGCGCATCACTAGCCTCCAGAGCTTCTGGCAGCTCCTGGTCTGAGGCTGGAAAGAGAGGCTCAGGGCTCAGGGCTTAGGCAGCCTGGTCCAAGCCTCAGATAGCCCCCTCCCCCAGGACACCCTGGTTATTAGCTTTAAAGGAGTGTGAGAGTTCTTTCTCCTCAATGTCTCTGCCTGTGGTTAGCTCAGAATTGGGGGCCCTACTGGTAAAATGAGGGAGCGGGGTGGACGAGGAGGAGGCAGCATTGGCATAGTAGGCGCTTGATAAAATTATGAAATGTTTCCGCTGGAAGGAGTCTTCGTTAAAGTCGAAGTATGCCAACTCTGCCCATTTTACAGATGAGGAAACTGAGGTCACAATGGGGCAGATGTGCGCACACTACGAGTCCATCGCGGGTCTGATGGATCTCTACTGCGTTCCTTGTTTTCCTCCAACATCCGGGGTGTGTGTGTGTGTGTGTTTTCTGGAGACTATCCCCCCACTCTCACCCTCCACCCCCGCCTCGGCTGCCCCCAATCCCTCAGGACGTCCCACGGTCCCTACGCCGCTGCGAGGAGGCCAGGCTCCCGCGGGACCTGCTGCGGGACTCTTCACACTGCGTGGATCCCCTTCCCCCTCCTCCCTCCGCGCTCCACTAGGCCTTCGCCCCGCGCGTTTGTCAATGAACGTGGCGCCGCCGCCTGGGCCACGCCCCCCATTCTCTCCCATTGCTCAGGTATCGGCTAATCAGGCGGAGCCCGCCGGTTGTTCGGCCAATGGAGGGGTGTCTCGGGCCAGGGCCGGCTGCCTCCGCTCTGATTGGCTTGATGAAGCGTGATTGGCAGGTTAGTCCCCGCCCCGCCCCCGCCCCCGCCCGGAGGGAGGCTGAGCCCCGGGCGGCGCTGTCCACACGCAGCGGGTCCTGAAAGCGGCTCCGGGGCGGCGCGGTGGCGCACTGTGCGCGCCGAGCAGGCGGAGGGCTAGCGCCGGCGGCGGCGGCGGAAGCGCGGGCAGTCAAAGCCGACAGCGACTCCATCTCAGCACCGGCAGTCCCGGCGGCCTTGGTGGAAGGGACCTTCGGCTCTCTCCTCTGTCCCTCGCTCCACGCCTGGGGCAGGCGAGGCGGCCGTCCTGGAAGAGGCAGCTGAAAGACAGTCGAACCAGACCCCCGAGAGAGGACAGCGGGGCTCGAAGAGTTGGTGGGCGCGAGGCAGATACTCAGGCGAGGAAGAGACCGTCGCTGTTGTCCCCATCCTGGTCACAGCGATGGGGGAGCAGCGGGGCCCGCGGGAACTTTGAAGATAGCGGGTCCCGGGCGTGAGGGCTGCAAGCTCCCGGGGCCTCTGGAGTCTCGGCCCCAGAGTCAGCGGCGGAAGCGTCTCCGAAACCGCCGGGGCCCCAGCGCGGCCGGAGAGGAAGTTCTTTGCAACTTCGTTCGAGACGTCGGAGAGCCGGGTGGAGAGAGGCTGAGGTGGCAAGTGCGAGGCGCAGAGACTCAGGGAAGCAGAGAGAGAAAGGATCCGGGTAGACCGAGAGGTCGAGGAGACTCCAGAGGCAGTGAGGCCGCGGAACCAGCCTGGCAGCCCGCGGGCCTCGCTGCGCCCCGAGTGAGCCAAGGGCTGCGTGTCCCGCAGGCCTCCTCCAAGCCGCTCCTACCGGAGGCCGGGGACTCCTAGCCGTCCCGGAACCGGGCCTCTACGCTATGCCCCCGAGGCTGCGTGCGCCTTGGCCGCAGCTACCCCGAGAAGGGTCCGGAGCCGCCGCCTGAGCCAGCCCAGGAGGGAAGCCACCAGGAGTTGGGCGCCCGCTGGCAGCCGGACTGCAGTAGCGACGTTCCTGCCTCCAGGCGCAGCAATCGGCGGTCTCCGGCCGGGCGGCTCTGAGAGAGGCCCCAAAGCTCCAGCGGCATTTTCTGAGCCCAGCTCGTACAGTGCCTGGCCTGACGGCGCGGCTCCCCAGCCCCACTGGGCAGCCCCCTGGCGCCGGGAGGCGGCGGCGTGGGCCGGCCTGCAGTCTGGAGCGCCCCGATGGAAATACACTGTAAGCACGACCCGTTTGCATCCATGCATAGTAAGTAGGCGGCGAGCTCGCTTCTCTCACTCCCTGGCCGGGACGGGTTGGGGATGCCGGACCGCGGGGCAGGTACTAAGGCCGGGAGGACCCAGGACTTCTGTAGCTGCACAGTCAAGTTTGCAGAGTGCAGGTCTCCCAGGGCAGGGCATGTGGAACAAGCGCCTGGCATCCCGGGCCGCAGCACTGGGCACCGGGAATCCCGCCTCCAGCAACACGTATTGCAGGCAGCGAGCTGCAGCCTTTGGTGGGCTCTGGCAGCGACATCTCAGTGTGCGAGGAGAATCCTGGCTGGGACCAGGAGAGGGCTCCGGCCAGGCTAGTTGGAGGGCACGAAGTTGTAGGGAGAGGTCAATTTGGGTCTCATACAGCCCCACAACCCAACCCCGATGGCACCTTTTTCAGCAGTGAGGCTGAACAAGACTAGTGCTTGGAGGGGTAGTGGGACCCCGACCAGTGCCTGTGTGCTTGTGTATGTGGAGGAAGAGATTGAGAGTGAAGTGAGACACCAGGTCCAGAACTCTAAAGGCGTCCTCGAGTGGAGGAGTGGGATTTGAAAAATAAACGAAATAGTGGTCCCTGAGCTGAGCTTCTGCTTAGAAGCAGCCAGTTCATACAGAGATCCTTAAGACACCATCAAGTCCTTCTCTACAGGACGCTTCCCTCATGATCGTTCTCCCTTAAAAAAAAAAATCAAGAAGTAGAAGCCAATTAGTCACCATCCAGGCGCCCCCCGCCTTCTGAAAGACGCCGAGTGTGTAGGAGACGGGAAGGGTCGTTTTGGGAGCGGGGAAGCCGGTTCAGCCGCCTGGCCCGCTGGGATCTGCCAGATCACCCATTAACACAGCCTCCAGTGAGATGAGCGCTCCCCTCACGGTGAGTTAACGCCGGATTGGATTCGGAGATTTCGAGGAAATTCCAAGTGGAACGAATCGTGTTTCTCTTTGCCGCTGCAGAGCTGGGCCGGAGCAAGCCGCCAGGCTTTGGCGGCATCCAGCCGGGTACCCAGCTCGGGTCCCGACGAGCCGCAGGTCAGGGCGTTCCTCCCGGGCTGAGAGCGCCCCCCCGCCCCAAGCTAGGTTCCTCTCAGCCCAGGATCCCGCTCACCCAGCCCTGGGTCCCCTATTTAACAAAGGCAACAGAGACCCGGCTGGAGAGAAGGCGAGCTTTCCTGGGCGAATATGTCCCTTTCTGCCCCGGAGGGCGAGTGGTCTGTTAGGCAGGGAAATGCTGATCTAGGCTGCCGGGGCTGGCTGCGGGCAGGTCAGTTTCTCTTTGTGTCAATTTCCCGAGTCCGAGGTAATCTACCAAAGCGGTGGGGAGATTTACCCGGAGAAGCTGCTTACTCGAGTCCCAGCCCAAACGATTCCTCACCGTTTGGGGCCTGTGCCAAAACGGTTTCCAGTCCATAGTGACCCCAGCGCCCCGGGTAGCCGTCTCCTGCGCAGACCTGAGCCGGGCTGGGGGAAGCTCTGGTCTCGCAGAGTGAGACAGGAAACAAACGAGTTGGGGTCGATACTCTGAGAGACGGGCAAACCCTTAGCTCAGCCAAGGAGCGACTGGGGGGCAAAATGGGGAGGGCTGGCCCCTGCACTTCTCTTCTCGCTGGCGGGAATCCACAGACCCTCACTGCCTCCTTCTGTGCAGAACCCAGCGGCCGGAGGTCGTGCTGGGGCCCTCGGGGAGATAGCATCAGACCCGGTGGTCTCTCGGCTGTGCATGAGGGTGCAGACGGCAGCTCCTTCCAGGTGCTGGTTAGCCGACTACTAATGCCTGTGTCTCTGTCTCTCCTTGTCCTGGCCTTCATCTGCCTCCTCCTAGAGAAGTGCTCCCTCCTCCCATTTTCATTCTCCCCGGCAGCTCGGTGGGGGCTGGGCCCCAGCCAGCCTAGCTTCCAGAGCTAGCTTTTCTGGAAGTGCCCTTGGTTCTGACTCCCAAAGCTATTTGCTTGCACAATGCAGGCCTGCTCTGGGGCCCCAATTTGTTGGTGATGGGGGGCCAGTTGTATGGTAGATTCTGAGAGGTCACCTGGGTAGTAGGGGCTCAGACCAAGTCCCACCTCCTCATCTTTGATTCTGGCCCTGGTCAATTTCTGCCTCTTACTTGCCCCCGTTTGAGCAGGACAGCTCTTGTGGGACAGTGGTGTTGGGAGGAGGGGCAGGCACTGCCAGGAAATGGGCTTCTGAGTTTCCCTTCCCCCACTCCCTATTTCAGACTCATCATTTTCATCAGCGCACTGGCCTCCCACCCCCTCCCCAGATGTTTTCCTCCCCCAGGTGTGGTTACCAGTTTTAAAGCACTTTTATAGCCAGTCTCCTACCTGAGTATCTTCTAAACCTTCAGCTACACCCATTTTACAGAGTATGATATTGCAGTCAGAGAGACAAAAGGACTGACAGGAAGTTCACATGGGCAAAGCTGGAGCTGGTTCTTGGGTCTTCGAGGATTCACAGAAGGGGAGGAAGAGGGACTTGGATTCTGGAGAGAGGGCAGTGTACTGTCTGGGTGGGTACACACCTGTGTAAGGCGCTCTCTCTGTCTGGTTTAACTATATCTGTATCCATGGCCCAACTGTCCATGTGTGTCAGCACCTGTCTGTCAGAGAGTCTGTTAGGGAGATTTCATCCCTGCCCTTTCCCTGTATTTCTGTTTGCATGTCTGTGTGTCCTTTCATTCATCCTCTTCAGTGCCACTAGGAGGAATTACAATGACTCTGTGTGTCCTGGTGTTCAATCTGCTGCTGAGTCAGCAGAGACCCTCTCCCTAAGACCTTTGCCCGGCCATGGTCTTTGGGGTGTGGACAGGGCTCCTGGTGGGCGGCACGTCCTTATCAGGGCCCGAGGAGCATCTGTGGAGGCCAGCCCCTTACAGACCAGAGCCACGAAGGCCCCAGGGGCATCTGCAATTCAATCCTTCTCCCTCTACCCTCCTCCAAATCCTGTTCTGTCTGCCCTCTGGGGCGCGGTTGTGTTTCCCTTGTATCTGTGTGTCTGTTTCCTGGTCTTTGCCTTGATTTGTTTGCATCTGTCTTCTTGTCAGTGTCTCTGTAAATTCTATTTGACCCTGAGAAGTGTAGCTGAGTCGTGTCTCCCCCCAGCAGCCCCCACGGGATGAGCGCTCACCCAGCTGGAGTCCATAGGAAGTATAGGCTGGGACTTGGGTTCTCTGAAGAGATGTAGGGCTGGAGCTGGGGTCCCAGCCAACAAAGGTCCCCATCCACAGAAGTCCCCTGTCTTCCACATGCCCTCATACTGGGCTTCCTCCATTTTCTCTTCTCATCTTCTTGCCTCCCACTGTACACCACACTCACCTTTCTTTTCTTTGCCTGTTCTGGCTGATCCATTCTTTTTTCTCCTCCTCTTGGTTCCTCACCGGAGGCTTCCCTTCCAGGCTCTCTCTCCTTGCTGTCTGTCTCGTTTAGCTCCCACTCTGCACCTTCCCCTCACAGGTCTCTTTTCCCTATTTCTTTTCCTGTCCTGCCTCCCCTCTCTCAGGTTCCAGGTTTCACTTCTTTCTAGTCTCAGGGTAAGTGGGAGACATTGCCTTCTCGACTATAGTTTAAAATCACTGGCCCACCCGCCTCTAAATGCTCTATTGAACAGGACTGTGACGGAGGCAGAAAGGGCCAAGTTGGTCTGGGGCCTTGCCAGGACGTTGAGGGAGGTGAGGGGCTCCCAGGGCATCCTGGGTCTGGTGTCAGCTGTGGACATGTGGATCAGAGTCTGGAAGAACATTGGTGGCCTAGCCTTTGTGGTCAAGGGTAGCGGGTTTTGGGACCTGCTGTCACGTAGAGTGTCTGACCCTTGGCTTGGGGTTTTTTTCATGATACAAATGGTTCCAAAAGCTCACAGATGTCCTGCAGGACTACTCGTGGAACTTAAGTCCTCTGAAGGTTGCCACTATGTTTTGAGCAGAAAGTTTAAATTGCCAGTGGTATGGGGAACAGGCTAGTGTGCATGGGCCTCAATGCCTAGACCAACAGGTTATCTGAAAAGTGTGCTGGGAGCTTTTAGCTTCCTTTTTGTCGTCTCAGATGAGCTTGTACCAGTTTTGAATTTATTTTGTCCTTAATTCCAGCCTGTTTTTGAAAGATTCGTGCAACCCTTTTTTATTAGGTGCTCCCAACCCCAGAACAAAGCCTTCTTAAGGCCCTCGGCCGGGGCGGCTGCTGTCTTTCTGTTTTAGGTGACAGTGCAGTCGCGTTCCTAACTGCAAAACTCAATTCAGGATGGTTTTCCTTCTTGTCATGTCTGGAGTGTTTTAGAACAATCAAAGGCGATTAAAGCTCACTTTGAAAACCCGAGAGAAATTCAGCTTAGAACCAGAATTAAGTGCTGTTGTTGTATATGAAATCGTGTTTGTCCTTGAAATCAGCCTGAGCCTGGACATTTTGAGAAATGTTCAATTTGGACTCTTATGGGAAACATCAGTGAATTGCTTTGGCAGTTTTTAGGAAATAGGTTATGTTACGGGTGTTTTTTTCCCCTCCATTTCAGGTACTGTTCATGAACCTGGATAGTCGTTGAGTGCTGAGAAGGAATGGCTGAGAGGAGGGGGCTATATTGTGTTTTAGAGTTGGAGTGTGTGTATGTGTGTGTGTGTGTGTGTGTGTGTGTGTGTGAGTGTGGCCTCTGAGACGCCCTGGCCCCTGGTATAGTCCAGTCTCGGGCAAGTCCCACTTAAGAGGAGACTGCCCCCTCCTTGGCCTCTGGGCTGCCAGCAGCATTGGTAAAGGCTTGGACTTGGCTTTCAGCTTTGACAGTCCTCAGCAGTGTCAGTTAGTGGCTGATTAACAACTACAAGATCGGTGATGTTGCTACATGGGATCACTCTGTGTTTGCTGGGGTGGCTCTTCCAGTTACTGGGATCCCTGTTTCCCTCCAGCTGGACCGTGATGTCAGAGAGGCGAGATTCTTTCCTGGATTCCTCTTAAAATCCATCCAGAGCCTTTGTAAAACCTGGGACTCAGAAGCCTTCTCTGGCTTCTTTATTTCCCCTGGACTAACTTACAGCTGCTTGTCAATTGCAAAACCCTCCAAAAATTCCAGGGAAACTCTTACAACAGATCCTGATGCAGCAGAGTGCGATGTCATCCTCTGACCCATTTCTTTTGTGTGCTCCGAGAGGGTGCAGTGTCTAGTCTGCATGTCAGCCTCACCTTTTTTGTTAATTTGTTTTTTTCCCCCTTTATTGAGATTATAAGCCTCACTTTCTTAAAAACTGTGTTTTTGTCAAGGCAGTGGTTGGATTTTCTCTCTGTACTCTGCAGACACTATTTAAAAAATTTTTAAGTCTTTAGCCCTTGAGTCAGACTGTTGATTTAAAAAACATTTTTTTTTTGAGATCTAGGTTTATTGGAATAGTCCATCTCATTTTTTGTGTGTGTGTGAGGAAGACTAGCCCTAAGCTAACATCCATTATCAGTCTTACTCTTTTTGCTTGAAGAAGATTGTCGCTGAGCTAACATCTGTGCCCATCTTCCTCCATTTTGTATGTGGGATGCTGCCACAGCATGGCTTGATGAGCTGTGTATAGGTCCGTGCCTGGGATCCAAACCCATGAACCCTGGGCTGCTGAAGCAGAGCATGCGAACTTAGTCACTATACCACCAGGCCGGCTCCATCCTTTTCAAATTTAAAGAGTTTGTTAAAAGGAAAGAGTTTTATTTCTAAAAATCTCTTTAAATTTAATGTATTTTAAAACGTATTTTCTCCCCAGGATCTTCCTTAGACCTGAGCATCATGTATGTAGTAAGTTGTGTCCCTAGTATTGATTGAAATCTTTGCATATTCCACTGTTAAAAAAAATTACAAGGAAAATGCTAGCAACTAAAGGAAACAGTATCGGGATGCTTGCTGTCAATAGCCCAACTGACCCGGCAAAGATGGACAAAGGCTAAGATTAATTTTTGAAAGCAGTCTGAGGTGCTCATGTAGCCCGCACCAGCTGACTCCAGGCCCAGCGCATCCGGCCTGCGGCCATTTCCCATCAGAGAGGCCCTGGGGCTCTCAGGCGCTCCCGCTGTGTGACTGGTTCTAACTGCTCTTTTCCTTGCCTTTTGTTTCTGATCTGTTTCAGGACATGGAGGAGTGAATCAGCTTGGGGGGGTTTTTGTGAACGGACGGCCACTCCCGGATGTAGTCCGCCAGAGGATAGTGGAACTTGCTCATCAAGGTGTCAGGCCCTGCGACATCTCCAGGCAGCTTCGAGTCAGCCATGGTTGTGTCAGCAAAATCCTTGGCAGGTAAAGGCAGGGGCTCCAGGCTCCCCTTGGCTTTTCAAATAATGAACTCAAACACAACCCGGCCTCTGTCCGATGTGCCAGTGTCATAGTGAGAGTCACAGTGGCACTTCACTCCACATGCACAGCACTTTAGAGTTTGCAAAGCCCTTTTGAGGCCATTCAATTCAAAGTCAGCCTGTATCAAGTGACATGTGGAACAAGGTGCCTGAGTCGGGAGGGATGACCTGTCTTCTGAAAGCCTGGCAAATTATTCCAAAGAACCCGAGTAAGAGGTTCTTGGGAATTTGTGCTACACATCTTGGGTGAGCCGAGGGCTTGGGCAGGCCTGGATGGAGAATCCGCAAGGTATAAGGTCATGTAACCAGAGTTCGATGTTTCATTTCAACGTTTGCAAAAAGCACACTCCATTTTTAAAAGTCAGCTGTCATTTTCAGTTTTGGGTTATCATCGGCTGCCATATTTCCCTTCTGTATGTTTTGTTTCCTTCGTAGTGATGGACATCCTAAGTATATATTAAATTAGGGAAGAAAAAAGACCCCAAACAAACAAACATGAACTCAAATCTGACATTTGAAAGTTGCCACTTGACGTGGTAATTTGCTGCAAGCAAAGTACCAACATGCTGTTTCTCCCAGAGGGCTGGGCAGCGTGTTAGCGCTCCTGGGGGAGCCTCAGCATGACCCAGGGAAGCGAGTTCTGAGACGAGGAAACAAACCTAGAGAGGCAAAGTAACTGACCTAGGTCCATGCGACCAGTCCGCGCTTGGCTGGGAAGAGGCCCAAAGGCCTCCCAGACCACATGCGTCTCACCTCACCCCAAACTCAAGCCACAGGTTTGTTTCAGGGAAGTTGTTATAGGTCTGCTCCGGCAGCCAGAAGCATTCTCAGCTTTAGCTGTTTGATGCTTTCTCAGGATTCCTCTCCCTGGGTCAGAAAGCAACCTTTGTCCTGTGGCTCGCATTATGGTTTGAGAATGGATGCCTGAATCAAAAATACTGGTTTTGAAGTATGTCAGTCACTGCATGACTTTCTGGTGCTCTTTCCCTTCTATCTGCTGAAATTTAAGAAATTCTTTCAGATGAAGGGAGCGACAGTTTTTTTTTTTTTTTAAAGATTTTATTTTCTTCCTTTTCCCCCCAAAACCCCCCAGTACATAGTTGTGTATTCTTCGTTGTGGGTCCTTCTAGTTGTGGCATGTGGGACGCTGCCTCATGGTGGTTTGATGAGCAGTGCCATGTCCACGCCCAGGATTCGAACCAACGAAACACTGGGCTGCCTGCAGCAGAGCACACGAACTTAACCACTCGGCCACGGGGCCAGCCCTGGAGTGACAGTTTCTAACCTTGGGGAGGCTTGCTGGAAGCTAGGGGAAGAAGTTTCAGGGCCAGAGGTCTGTCAGCCCCTTTAGGGACCTTGATCCCTGTGTTTATTCCTCATCCTCCTGCCCATCGCGGGGCCATCTCCTCCGTGGAGGCTGTGAGCTCCACTTCTGTTAGCGCTCAGCAGCCAGTGAGCCCCAGTGGGGGTTCAGGGGTAAAGGCAGGACATCAGCGTGGTGCTCTTGTGAGATAGTGGTTTGGCGAGAGGATAGGAGCGAGAGTAGAAGAAGAAAAATAGAAGAGAGGCGGATAGAGAAAAGAGAAAGAGAAAAAGGAAGACAAAGGGAAAAAAGAATGATAAAAAAAAAAAGAAACAGAAAGAGAAATGAAGACAAGATTGAAGGAGAGAGAAGGAGAGAGAGAGAAGAGAAATATTTTAGACTGTCTCAGTGTCAGGCTTCTAGAGCTGAATGGATCTTAGGTATGTTCTGGGGAAGCCTCTTCATTGTACCGAGGGAGAGAGAGAGAAAAAGAAGGCCCTTCCTTTGTTTTTGCTGAGACATCGTTGCTGAGCCGACATTTTGCTTGTTATTTGAAATCTTCTCAGGGCACGATGCTGAGCCCTCCTCTGAGGGGACATCCAGATGCTGGGTCCTCGTGTTCTGGTCCCCCAGAGCACTCCAATCTCCCCTGGAGGCTGAAGGGGACAGGGACCCTCCCAGGCCCAGCAGCAGCCTCCCGTGGCCCAGAATAGATTTGTCACTAGGTGGAGAGGCACTCGGAAGTTACGCGCCGCTCCGGTGCCTGGCCGTTTAAGTTGTCAACAATAAATTGGAATTTCATAGCTCATTATTTTCATAACTAAGAACCACAGTGGACAAAATGTCACTCTAATTAGAACTGCCTTTTAAGAAACAAGTTCAGCCCTAAATAACAGTGTGACTGGGAATTTGTGAACCGGGGCTGTTACATCCACTGATTCTTTTTGGTCACTGAAGAATTTGATGGGTGCACATGGGGTGACAGATTGTAGAGAGCATGTGCTGCGCGGTGGCTGTGGTTTTCAGAGGCTGCACGGCAAAGCAGGCAGAGTCCCTGGGGCAGGCAGGGACCCCCGTCATCTCGGAAAGGTGGTGGTCTGCCAGCAGTGTGGGCATTCAGTGCACAGAGCCTAAGGCCGCAGAGGGGCTCGAGAGGCACAGCCCGGTGGCATGTGAGGCCCATTTAAATCCATCTGAAAGCCTGGCTGTTGTCTTCTGTCACTGGAGCCTGGCTGGCAAGTTCAGGCCGTTTGGGGTTGGGTGGCATGTTACACGGTAATAAACACTCAGAAGATTTTAATCTACAACACATGCTCTTCATGTTTTGCAGCTTTTTCTTAACCATTCTGTATTTCGGTCTTCACAACAGCCCTGCAGGCAGGCAGGACAGACATCCTTCCCTTATTATACACATGGGATAACTGAGGCCCAGAGAAGCTAAGTGAGTTGGCCAAGGTCACACAGTGAGATAGAATCAGAGTAACTGACTAGCACCTACACCTCTTGACTCCCAAACTAATGCTCTTTGCACTGAACTACTGTGTGTTGGTGGCTGCTGTTCAGCTGTTGTGTGTAAGCCAAAGGGCTGCACGGCTGTTTTGATGAGGTGAAAGGGCAGTTACTTAGTCTGAATCCTCACTTGACACAGTTGCTAGTTGGGGTTTCCAGGACGGTCTGGGTTGCCTTCTAAGTGCCTGGCCCATGTGTCAATCAAAAGGAAGACAGAGAGGGGCTGGCTCCGTGGCCGAGTGGTTAAGTTAGTGCGCTCTGCTTTGGTGGCCTGGGGTTTCACTGGTTCGGATCCTGGGCGCGGACATGGCACTGCTCATCAGGCCACGCTGAGGCGGTGTCCCACATAGCACAGTCAGAGGCACTCACAACTGAATATACGACTGTGTACCAGGGGGCTTTGGGGAGAAGAAGAAAAAAAAAGAAGATTGGCAACAGATGTTAGCTCAGGAGCCAATCTTAAAAAAAAAAAAGGAAGACAGAGACCTCTTGTGTCAAGACCGCAGCCTCCTATGGCTGGCACTGCTCAGGGGGATGGCTAGTGAGAGCCCTGGGCGCTGCCACCCCCAGCCATGTCGCAGGGCAAGTGGGGCAGGGGCTTCATCCTGCCGCCCTCACAGAGTTGCTGCGTGAATTTTGCAGTTTCATTCAACTGACATACTTTGAGCACCCAGCACAGGGATGTCTATGTGTCTGTGACCCCTGCCTCAAGACAGTGCCTGCCATACCAGGCTCCTGGTGACGACTGAGTGAGTGAGTGAATGAATTAAAAGATGCATGTGAAAATGCCGGGTAAACAGTAAAGCTCTCTACAATTGCAAAGGATTATAATTATTTGATTTTTTTGCAACCAAAGCGGGAGTTTTCTCTAGTGGGAAGAGCACTGGATTCAGAGTCTGGTTTGAAAGCTGGGGCTGCCTCTGACTTCCAGAGGGGAGCTGGGCAAGTTGCTTAGTCTTCTGAGCATTGATTTTCTTTTCTGTAAAACTCTGCTGGCCTCTCAGGATTGGTGTGAGGATCAAGACAATTCAAGGAAGAGCTCTGTCAACTGTTAGTACCTGAATGAGTTGTGCTGATAGTAACAAATGACTTCCTATTGTGAAATTGAAAGGATAATTGGAGGCTGCAGAGACTGCTGTGTGCCTTGATTTAGGTACTTTTCTAGACTTCTGGAAAAAAAAGTATTTTTTTGGATATGTCTAAAAATGTGTTTGTGACTAATAACAATTTTCCAGCAATTACAGAAAGAGGGGGGATAGGTTGAGTTTTGCCTTAGGGTCTGAATTTGTACATGACTCACTCTTCTCAATGAAAAATAGAATTTCCACCTCCACATCTCCACTCCTAAATTGTTTCATCTGTTTCTAGAATATTCGCTAACTTGGCCCCAACCAGCCTCAGCCAGGCTGAGACTTCGCATCTCTTTAAATGTAACCAGTCGTTATTCCTGGGTAATATTTCTCCCTCATCCCACGGGAGAATCGCCTCTTTCCCTTATCTGTTATAAACTCTTGTTAGGTTTAAAAATTACCAGTCATTTCTAAAATGTCGTTTTGGTTAAAAAACATTTCTACTGTGAGATAATCTCCTTTGCAAGAGGAAGTCAAGAATCCCTCTGTAAATGTTGAGAGAGACATCCAGCGAAGGCTGAGATTCAGAAAAGAAATCAAGTAATTTTTTTCCCCTGAAATGATCTTTCATGGCACTCTTCTCCCCGGTCTCGGTTTTGCTGTAAAACCCTGACATCCTATTTGCGTTAACGAGGAAGAGCTGATAGCATGGAAATGTCCTTAGAAACAGCAATTTACCTCAGGGAGGTCCCTGGAAGACCTGCTGTGACTTGTGGTTGGTTTTTTGACTGCTTGGGTTTTGACTTACATATAACACATATTTCCAGTTAATTCTGGAATCTGACACTCTCTTTAATTTTACACCAGGGTTATTGTTTTTCTCTTATGGAAAAATAAGTTGCATTTTAGGGGATGGTTTCACAGAATGCAGAGGAATCTTCTAGGGGATGGGAGAGCGGGCAAATTAAAGGCACAAGCCAAGTTTCTGGGGAAATTTTAGCTCAGGAGTCTGAGCCACAGTCCTGGCTTGGCCACTTGGCCTTGTGTGGCCCTGGGCATGTCATCATACCCCTGTGGATCTCTGTTTTATACCTGTGGATGAGCGCCCATTCATTTATTCATTCACTCCTTCAGTCAGAACGTTTATATCCTTTACAACTGCTGTGGGGATCCAATGGGAAAAATGACTGGAAAGTTTCCTGTGAACTGTACGGTGGTAGATCAATGTGACAGAATTAATTAATTAATTATTGCGTAGCATCCTGACTAGCACTGACCAATAAGAATATAATGTGAACCATATGTGATATTTAAAATTTTCTAGTACCACATTAAAAAAAGAAACAGATATAATTAATTTTAATTATATGTTTTATTTAACCCAATATATTAAAAATATTATCGTGTCAGCATATAAGCAATATTAGAATTACTAATGAGATATTTTACATTCTTTTTTGGTATTGAATTTTGAAAATCTGGTGTGTATCTTATGCTTACTGCACATCTGAATTCAAACAAGCCAAGTTTCAATGTTCAACGGCCTCATGTGGCTGGTGGCTACTGTACTGGACTGCAGCTCTGGATGGAGTAGTCTGTTCTTTTGTTGCCAATATCCGTTTTGCTGGTTCCTCATGGCTAAGCTCCTTTCTCCTTGGGTCTTAGGTATTACGAGACGGGGAGCATCAAGCCTGGGGTAATTGGAGGATCCAAACCAAAGGTCGCCACACCCAAAGTGGTGGAAAAAATCGCTGAGTATAAACGCCAAAATCCCACCATGTTTGCCTGGGAGATCAGGGACCGGCTGCTAGCAGAACGCGTGTGTGACAATGACACCGTGCCCAGCGTCAGTTCCATCAACAGGTGAGGGGCTGATGCCTGGGGGGCTAGGGATCTGGGTGGAGTGGGGGATCCTGGGGACTCTGTGTGTGCCTTCCCTACAGATCTGGTCTCTCCTTTCACCAAAGCCCCTTAGAGGTCACGGCCGGAGGGATGCTAATGGGCCGGATGAATCTCTCTATCGCTATTCTCTTCTTCTTCCCAAGGTGGGAGGAGTCCTCGGCCCAGGGAGAGGAGGCCATGCCAACACCCTGGCTGCTTGAGATTCTTCTGAGCCCAGAGTGATTACCGTCACTCCCTTCACCACCCAACTCTGTGTGTGGAGCACTTAGTGAATTGTCCTGATTAGGCTTTCACAAGTGTCACTTCCTTGCAAGCCCAGGTTCAAGGTCTCAGCACTGGTCCATCTCCGAGCTTCCCAGGAAGAACGTTCTTGCATCTAGTTTGGGCAGAGGTTGAGCCACTGAGTGTGGGGAGCTGAGCTCTGACCTGGAGGTGGGAGACTGAGCCCCTTGTCCCAGCTCTGACGTAAACTCGAAGTGTGACCTTGACAAAGCTCTTCCTGTCTCTGAGCCCGTGGCCCTGGTGGGTCTGACGTGGGGCTGTGATCTCCAGGAGTGACATCTGGGACGCTGAGATGCTGTGGAGTTTGGGAGTTGCCCTCTCCCCAGTTGGCCCAGATCTCACCCATGGATAGAAAGACCCAGAGAAATACCGTGGGTACCAGGCTTGGGATCTTCCTGGGAGCTGCATGGCTCCTTCTCCTCTCCACTCTGACCCAGGATACATCTAGCAGAGCTCTCAGAGCTTTTAAAAGAAATCCCTGAAAGTTTTCCATGGTGGATGGCGCAGTCTCCACTCCACTGAAACCCGTAGAGTCAGGGATGAAGTTGTAAGACAATCAGAAATGATTGTTCTCTAAACTCCACAAAGAAAAGAGAAGGCAGCAGACCGAAAACTTGAGTGGTTCCCATTTCTTCAAGGTCACACCTTACCCTTGTCAGCGCAGAACCTATCTGGGACAGGGGATCCCTCACCCCCAGCAGGAAGAGGTAGTCATACTAGAATGTGTCTGAGATCCGCCTGGTCCCCACAGTCATTCCTGCTGTGCTGACTCAGATGCACAGAGTCACTGTGTGAGTATGTGTGTTGACATGCTGAGGCCTGCTCTCTCATGGACCGTTAGCCTGTTTTTCGTTTCTCAGCAAACCTTCACCACAGCCCTGACATCATGCACGGTGCCGAGAAGAGAGAAGGGATCCAGGCACACAGTGTCTTAGTCTCTGTTCTAGAAGTCCTCTTTGTCCAGAGTGGGATTCCAGCATGTGCTTATAGGTCTGGACTGCCCGAATTAGGCACAGACTTGTTGAGGAGGTAGCCACAATTGTGGTAGGTTTGAGGGAAATAGCTCCTGTTCTGTTTCTGGATTGTGAGGGGCTCCAGGGCGCTTGGTGAGTTCTCTACTCCTGGCTCATTGCAGGATTTCCATGGCACGAAGCAACAGGATTTTCCCCCAGGTCTCCAAACGCCCTAATGTAGACTGAGGCACATACTGCCTAGTCAGCCTGCTCCACAGGGGGTCTCCGCCGGACCTGGGGTTAGGCTGTGGGAGCCCACAGACTCCCCGCTGTAGGGTGTGTATGTAATTGGTGGTTCAAAAGATAACTGTAGGTTACCCGTGGGGGTCCCAAACTCTAATGCCTGTGTAGGGCTAGGCAGATAAGGCAACAAGTGAAGCAGACCAGGCATAAGGCAATAGGGAAAGGTTGGGTCTGTGGCAAACTGGAGAGCACAAGCCCTATCGAAGGGGCACTTGCTTCTCAGCTCCAGCCGAATGCTGCCAGGAATGTGGCCCAGTGGTTGCAGGTTTTTTCCATTCTTAAAGAGAAGCCAGGACTTATGTGTCCATGTATATATGCGTGTTCGTATATAGGAAATCTGTATATTTTTAAATGGTGGCAGTTAACGTCAATGAAAAAATGCCTTGCAGGACAAGCAGAAGTCATTTGCAAGGCTCCAGCGTACAGCCTCTGTAATACAAGGATGAAAATTGTTTTGTGATGAATTTATTTATATGTATTTTAGAGATATATAACTAGCACACAAAATCAGTGAGTGTCAACTTTATAAGCACTCCCCCATTTATAGTAAAGAACTAATATTACCTTATAAGATAAGTCTATTTAAGTGGAAAAGTCAGTTACTTGAAAGAAACATGAAGTAACGAGGGCACAGTGGGTACAGAAGTGGTGGCGGCTGTGAAGGGGGAGCCTCAGGGAGTGTGGAGGGCAGTCGTGGATCAGCTGGTGCTTTGTCCCTGGAGCTGTGGGTGCGTTGCTGGGGCCGTGGGTAGCCTCAGGGGCTGCCTGGGTGTCCTGATCATACCGGTGGCCTGGCTGGCTGTGCCTCTAAGGTGCTCTCACGTCTGTGGTCTCCTACAGCCCTCAAGGGTTCTCTCCACCCTGTGACGGGTATAGAAACCGTGGCCCAGACGGGGCTGCAGAGGAATGATGATTTTGAGCTGGAGAACGAGTAGAGCCACGGTCTCCTCATGGTAAGAGGAGGGCTGGTGTCCTTCTCCCACCGCCCTGTGGAACTCTGCCCGTGATGGAATGAGGATCTGGGAGAAGGGAGGCAAGAAGAAGTGAAGTGGCCATTCCCACTCCATTTCCGAGACAGTCTCACGTTGCCGCGCCCCCACGCCTGGAGATCCTGAGCCATCTCAGCACACACTTTTATTTCCATGTGAAGGCAAAGCTCCCACTGCATTCCAACGGATGGATGCAGCTTCTAAAGAACCGTCTTGCAGATGTCCTGTGAGAGGCACCTTTAGCTGCCTCTCCCGGCACTTCCCTCCCTGAGCAGCACTCTTTTCCTTCGCCCAGCCAGGGAGGGAGTGCAGCTATTCCGGTGGCCAGTGGGTCATCCCCATTGTCCATCTCTAGAAGTATGTGCCTTCTTGTTGTCTTTTAGGGGACCAGCCTGGGAAACCATGACTGACAAGGGGTTGACCAGTCCTGTCGGGCTGTGGGAGATTTCCAGAGACACAAACCATCGTGTTTCTGTGGCTTCTTAAGGACCTATACAAGCTGGGATGCTGCACAACCTGTGCGAGAGGTTCCTGGAACCTGCCAGACTGCAGTCGGGGGTGACTGTGCCAGAGCCGACCCAAACGGAGCCTTCCTTCTTCTGTTCAGTCCTGTGGCTCTAGATCAGGGACCAAGTGATGAGGATGGCGAGTGGCATTCCCAGTTTAGAGGGACAGCTGTATTTAGTACCAACTGGTCGTTGTCATGTGAGAATGTGGGGCCAGTATTGCTGGGTGTTCTGGCTTTTCAGGAGAAGCTAGAAATCCATGTGTTTATGTGAAACCTCCCAACTTACATATATTGGCAACTAATTAAAATAAAAATGAATATACTGTGCAGGCCACACCAAACTGGTCAGAGATGACACTTTGTAAACTCCGCTCCTCCTCCGGGCTGGGGCGGCGAGGCTTCCGAGGCTGAGTCCCCGTCCCCTCTTTCTTGTCCACCTCAGTGGCAGGCTGGGCGGCACCTGTGGGCCCTCTCCCAGCATGGCCCAGCTGGAGCCCTAGTTTGGGATTCTTAGCACAGCTGATGGCCCAAGATTCTTCCTGCACCAATGGCAGTGTGATCCGTGTGGTAGGCATGGGGATTTCCCCAGCTCTGTCTTCTCATTTCATTTTAAGGCACCACTGCTTTCTCCTTCAATGTAAGTGTGTGTTGGGGAGGGGTGGTGAGAAGGCCTAGCCTTTCCAAGGAGTGGCGATGTTAAAATGGGATCCTTACAAATGTCTGTAGTACTTAAACGGCCCTCGGCCCTTGAAGTTTTAATCCTCAGATTCTCAATGAATTTTGAATCCAAATAGGCTTTACGCCTCCTATAGGAAGTATTTAGTGGAGGGACTATTTCCTCTGAGTGAGGCTCAAAGAGAAGCGCTAAGGCACGGGAGCTGGGAGTCTGGGCTGACTTGCTGTGTGACCCTGGGCAAGCCACTTGAACACTCTAGGCTTTAGTTTCCTCGTTCATAGGAATTGGTTGATTGCTGAGCTCCCATCTCTGTTGGCCCATGTAGGATATTCATCATGCTCATGCTCAGCAAAGTAAAGGCTATGCCTTTTTGCGTTAACTGCCAATTAGCTCTGGCCGTCTCTGGTTTGGAAAAGGTCCTGAGTGTGGCTCTTCTGGTGATGAGTCTTGACGCTTGCTTGTTATTTTTAATTTTTTTTAGAATTGCTATGATTCGATTAGTCCTGTTCTTCCCGCTACCGTTTGTCCTCAGTGGAAGATGTGCTCTTCGCTCTTTACTTGGCAGCTGCTGCAAGCAGAAGGGCAAGATCCCCATCCCCAGGGGCGGCTCTGGAGGGTGCCCGGGGGTTCTGCTCTCGCCCATAGAGGACAGCCCTGCTGCAGCCTTAGAATAGCGGGTGGGATGGCTGCCTTCCGCTCCCAGCTCCCCAGGGAATCCCATGTCTTTTTACGGCATCTGTGGAAAATATGAACCTTTTAAGGCTGGAGCTGTTTGTTAATCTTTATGAAGACACCACTGAAGGTCATAGCCAGCATCTACTGAGCACCCACTATGCGGCAGCCACTGTTTTAAGTACTTAATTAATTTAGTCCTCAAAATAATCCAGTGAGGTAGGACTGATTCTTAGGCCCATTTTGCAGTCAAACAAACTGAGGCACAGAGAGGTTAAGTAATTTACCCAAGGTCATGCAGCTGGCGGATTGTGAAACTGGGATTCAAACTCTGGTAGTCCGGTTCCAGAGACTGCACTTACTCACTGTGCCGCGGCTGCCTCTCAGTGAGTTATAACAATTGATGATGTTTTACCAATGACTTATCAATAGTTAAAAGGAAAATAAGGAAAACATAATTTTCTTTGCTTTACTTATGGACAAATTTAATAGCTGTCAATGCTTTGAAAAGTTAGAACTTTATGGTGGACTTCGATGGGAAGTAGTTACAATATATTTTACCATATATATTTGTATATACATAAGCCATAATATAGATAAACTACATTTATATCTGGTATATCCATATATCCACTTATCTAGCTATACCTCTGTAGGCACACACATATACAGAGAAGGTGACATACACAAAAATACAAAACTTAGGTCAGATGCTAGCTTAATTCCAGGTGGTCAGAAAGACCACCTCACTCCCCATCTTTGTCAAGATGCTCCCTGTTTGCTTAGTTAAATTAAGTGGGTTGAATATTGGAGAAAACAAACAAACAAACAGTCAATACATTTGAGGCAACACTTACGCTGACTCATCAGAAAAGGGCAAAGGGCCCTGGAGGCTCCAGTGGCCTGGGCTCCAGAGGGTCAGCGGAAACGTCCATCCCAGGCTGCCAGCCAAGGCCACTGAGTGCCCTCGGTGCCTGGTGCCGGGCTGTGAGATCACAGAGGGCGGAGGTCACAGCCTGATGAGGTGAAGGAGAGACATCTGCCACTTCTATCCTTCTCTCCATTTGCATGAGCCGGGGGCGCAGTACAGCCTTGAAACGAACTTCCAGAAATAACAGTCTGGAAGGTGAAAAAGCTTTTCCTATAATGTTGGGTGCAAAGAGCAGGATACAAAACTGCAGACGTGGTTGAATCCTGATTTTGTTACGAAAAAAATGAATAGTTCCAAATCTACACAGGAATGCTACCGTAAAAGAAATACACAGAAATGTGGTTTTAGATGTCCTCTTATACTCTTTGTCCAAATAGTCTACAATGAGCAAAGAGTACTTTTATGATTAGGAAAAATTCTAGTAATATTCTTTTAAAAGGTGGTAGTTGGAGGCTGGATTAGAACTTTTCCAAGGAAGCTGAATATTTCATTACCACTCATCCTTCTGCCAAATCCCGGGGAAGGAACTTTCTTGGACACCCCAAAGAGAGTTTTGGCCCTGCCCTGGTTGACGCACAGGGCCTGGGGAAAATGTACAAACTCAGCTTCCCAGAGCCCGAGGTTCTGAAGAAGGACATCAGAGCTGCCAGGTGGCAAAGGGAGAAAGCAGGACCACTATTGTCCCTTTTCTGTAACTGGACTTCTGTAAGATCTTTTTTTTCGTTTGCGAAAAGGATTTGATTACTTAAAGCAAGCAGAGTGGTCTGTTCTGCTCCCTCATTGTGTTGAGGCCCACAGTGGAATGGACTTGCCCAGGGGCACAATCAAGTTCATATTAGAATTGAAGCTAGGTCTCTGGAGAGACAGACCAGGACACCCCTGGCTTCCAGCCCTGTGGAACCTTTGCATGGGGTTTTGCATGAAGTTTTGTATGAGGCAGGCTTCCTCCTGGCAAAGCCACGCCAGGCCGCTCCTGGCAGGACAAATGCATCCTCTCTGGTTTCAGAGCAACTCATAGCTTCCCTCCGTGCTAATTTCCGACAGACAGGTGGGATGTTACTCCTCCTGTGGCTCTCCAAGGCAGAGACGCCAGAGCATGAGAGCTGCCAGGGGACAGAGATGTCACCTGGGTCAGTCCCTTCATCCCACAGCCGGGGGCTGAGGTCCTGGGACTCCCCAGTGTCATCAGTGAGTTCCTCACGGAGCCGGAGCTGCTTCTGAGAAAGCCATGGCTGTTCACAACCTCAGCACGTCATCGTCTTGCTGCTGAGGAGGCGCTTGAGGCCCGGAGAGGGGGCACGCTGCCCAGAGAAGGCCGGGGAGGGAGGGGCTCAGTTGGGGTTAGCCCGTCACTCTTTCAACCCCTAACTCCCAGCCTGGGTTCCTAATCTCCCCCCACCTCTGCACCTGCTTGACCCGTGACCCAGCTGGACGTGGGTGTTCTGGTCGTCCGTGCACAGCTGCCTGACACCTCTTCTCCTCCGTGATGGTAAACAGCCACTTATTTTTTCCCAACTGCCCACAGGATCATCCGGACAAAGGTGCAGCAGCCGCCCAACCAGCCGGTGCCGGCTTCCAGCCACAGCATAGGTAAGAAGAACTTGTAAAAAAAATTTGAAAATCTAATGGGCTCCAAATATTCTAAAGAACTTTTAATCATTCTTATGGACAGATAATTCTGTATAAAACACTTCGGCACACGTACTAATGCGCCTTCTTTGTCATTCTCCAAGGGCTGAACCTGGTAAATGAATTTTATAAATACTGCTAAAAGGTTTTGAATTTTACTGATTATTATGATAAATAGCTTTCACCATGAGACAGAAAATTGAAATCTAAGCCAAAAAAAAAAAAAATCCACTAATGGGGGTCTATAGAATGTCAGATAATTAAAGTAATAAATCAAGAAAGGGATACTTATTCATAACATTTTCTGCATCATTAGTCAGTAAGTAGTTTTGAATGTGTTTTTTCTTCTATCAGCCAGCCCTTCTACAAGTCTTTGTGCACTTGCAGTCTTGAGCGAAGATGTGGCAAAACTTCCCAAACTTTCTCTGTCTCGCTTCAGTCCCACGCGCTCCGCAGACGGTCGCGGCCGCAGTGGGCTCTGAGCCGGGCGTAGCCCCAGAGCAGGGACGTCGTCTCGGGATGGGAGCCCTGGCTCCTTCCACTCGAGAGTTCAGAGGTTTCTCTTCCGAGATCGTGAGATGAGAAAGACATGTGTCTATTTAAGGCATATTACTTCTCCACTTGGGAAAAGGAGACGCTCTGGTCAGCTGGGGGTGGGTTATTCTGCTAGAAGAAAGCGGGTGACCACTCGGCAGGCCTTTGACAGTCATGGCTGCCACGGTCCCTGTCAGTTCTGCTTGATCACGCCCCAGATTGTGGGACATCTCCACACCTTCGCTCCTTCTTTAACTGAAGATTTGAACTCCCCACGGTGACGGGGGACAGCCAGAGGCCTGACTTATAGTTCCAGCTCTGCCATTAGCTCACCCAGTGAACTATGTACATCCTTTCACCTCTCTGTGCCTCAGTTTCCCCATTTGTGGACAGAGGGGCACAAACCAGGTGCTCTCTGAGGTCCCTGATTTTCCACGGTCGCCTCTTTGAATGGAGGTAAGACAGAATTCCTCCCTGCCCTGACATAGGTCTTCATTTAGTGGTCCATGCAGAAAGGGCTGCTCAGCACCTGCTGTGCAGACGGAGGCCTGAGAGAGTAATGTTATAAGGGAGGCAGGACAGAATCCCCATTCTCAAGGGCTTCTCAGCCTATGCGGGATGTGATAGAGAGAAATTTTCGAAACACTGAGAGAAGGCTCAGAAGACAGCACAGGTGCCGTGGGAGCAGGAGGGAGGGAACCCCCAGCTCTGCTGAGCAGGGCGAAGGGGCTGAGGAAGGCTCCCCGGGGACGCACTTGTGGCTGAGATTTCACTTGTGGCTTTAACTATTTCAGGTCACGTAGCATGAATATCAAACTGAGAGCAACTGACAATATTCTTTCAGTTGGGTTAGAGGAATCATTCTACTTGCTGGTCAGCAGAATGCTTTGTTTTGTCTCAGAAAGTTTTATAAAAACTGCATCTTATGTGTGTGCGGCCCCTTATACGTTAGCAATGCATTGAGGAGCGAGGAACGGAAGCTTAGAGACGTTAAGTCAGTAGCCCAAGGTCACATTGCCAGGAGGTGGTGGAGTCAGAATTGCAACCTGGGTCTTTCGAGCTGAGCACAATCGCAAAGTATTGGAGCCAATACCACCGGCTCTGTCAGCGCTGTGAGCTGTGGTCATCAGTAGTTGGTGTTTAAAGTACCAAGTGACTTGTGATCTTCTTTCTTCCTCTGTTCTTTGCACCTTAAGACAGAAAAAGTTGAGGGATTTGCATAAATCTATTTTGAGGAGCTTCTTCTGGTGGAGGAAAAGAGAAGTTAATGATTTCTACTTCTGTGTCTCCTAAGGAAGATCTAAAATCAAACTCAAATAGGAGAAGAAAGGCACTGTTCCCACCAGGTCTGTAGGCGCAGGAGCGGGAGGAGCTCCCAGGGAAGCAGCAAACAGCTTCTCACGCCATCCCCACCATTGCTCGTCATTTCCTAGCTTAGAGTCTGAGGCCGCCCCACCACCGCCCCCAGCAGTTAGAGCCCGAGGGGATGTGTCCGTGATGGTTTTAATGAACCAAGAGAGAATTCCCACAGCCCAGAAATGGAAACTCAGCTGCACAGCTTGAGGGGATGCCGGTGTGGGGTGGGCCTGGTTCCTGTGAAACTGGTGCAGGCCTCCCCTCCCCCGTCCTTGCCCTTAGGAACCGAGAGACCTGGCCTCAGTCGCAGTAAGTCACCGCCTCTGCCCACACTTCTGGGCAGAGGAGTCTAGGCTGCACGTCAGTAGACCTCAGGCTGGGTCCTGGTGTCACTGCTTATTAGCCAGATGACTTTGACCAAACCACTCTGCCTTGTGGAGCCTCAGTTTCCTCGTGTGATAAATGAGGATGAATACTTGCACTCTAGGTTGTCGCAAGCAGCAAATGAAAAGCACTGCGTTAATGTGGACTCTCTAATTGTTTTTCATTATTAATTAGTGAGGAGCAGATTACTGTAGGAGCTAAGACAGTAGTTTCTGGGTTCCAGTCACCACTCTGCCGTTTATTAGCTGTGTGACCTTGGGCAAGTCACTTACCTTCTCTGAGCCTCGGTTCCCTTGTCTTTCCAAAGGGATAATAACATGACCTAGCTTACAAGATTGTTCTCAGAATTAAATGAGATAATGCCTCAGGAATGCCTGGTGCAGAGTGAGTTCCCAGAAAACATTATTATGTATACTATATATAGTACTATATCAATATTATATAATTAAAATTAAAATCCAGGTAAGCTGGAAGGAGAAAAGACAGTGAGGAACTGTAAAAAGGGACAGTGGGCCATTGGCGTTTTGTTGGCTCTGTGTGTGGTGTGTGTATGTACGTCTGCGTGGATGGGTGGCTATGTTCGCAGGGCATGAACCTGCCTAATGAGTAAGTCTGCGCCTCTTTTAGTGCCGGCTGGCGGTGGCCCCAGCCCCCTCTCTTTACCATCCCTCTGCCTCCTGCATCCTGGGGCAGGCTGGGCTTTGAGCTGGTGCCCTTCCCACACTGTCTGGTGCATGTTCTTTTCTGCACCATCAGTCCTTCTCGCTGCCCACCCTCCCCTCTCATCCCCCCAGCGGCAGAGACCCTGGGCCAATGGCCCGAGGGTCTGCTCTCCTGGCCCAGGTGTGGCTGCTGCCGTAAGGCGAGTGTCCTCTGCACACACGCTGCGCCCCCGCGCTTGCAGTCGCATTCAGCCCAGTGTAGGGTGACTGCCTTGGTTTTGGCCAGTGGAAGTCCCGCCCCTACAGACCTGCTGCCGGGCCCTGACTGCCCCTCTCCCTCTGCGCAGTGTCCACGGGCTCAGTGACGCAGGTGTCGTCGGTGAGCACGGACTCAGCCGGCTCCTCGTACTCCATCAGCGGCATCCTGGGCATCACGTCCCCCAGTGCTGACACCAACAAGCGCAAGAGAGATGAAGGTAAGAGATGCCCACGCAGCCTTGTCCGGGATGGACCAATGTGATCGGGGCGCTCAGTCAGGGGTGGAAGCAAAGGTGCCCACTGAGCATCCCCTTAGCTGCAGAGCACAGTAGTCCCCAGGCCCTTCCGTGGACCCGCGGACATGGGGAAGAGGCTGAGCCATCTGGGAGGGCCAGGCAGGGAGCTGGCTGTGGGTGTGGATTTCTGGCTGGCTTCCCTCATCCTCACCCCTTGGGGAGAAAGGTGGGCCTGGCAAAGCCCTTGTGGCCTGAGCTCTGTGGCCTTTAAGAAGAGCTTGCGTGTGGAGATATGATGCCTGAGGGCGGGGTGCGGAGGGCAAGAGCACAACACCTTGTCCCCTTTATGGGGGAGCCCTGGGGGCGAGGGAGGCGTGGGTGTTCCGCGATGAGAGGAGTACACAGGGCAGGGAGGGGTCCACGGCGCTCTTGAGGGCCTCCCAGGAGAAGGCCTCCAGCAGCTGTGATGGGGGCCGTTGAAGAAGTTAACACGTAATCATCTCGTCTCTGGCCTTGGGCCTGGAAGGAAGGCATGCAGGGCCTCCCGAGGATTACAAAGATGACAGTCTTCCTGGTTGGTTTTTCTCAGCTTGTCCATGTGCCACCTGGGCCTCCAGAGCTGGCCGCCTCCGTCCTGGACACGGGTCTTCTTTCCCTGGACAGGCTGCCAGTGCCGGCTGGCATTAATGGGTTTGAGAGGAGAAACGACCCCTTGGGAGTCTGTAAAACCTTAGTCAGGAAAGGGAAAAACGCTGGTGGTCTAGGCCTGAGAACAGCGTGACAGAAATCTTGATTCAATTATTCTCTTCCTCGGCACAATTCCTTTCTCGGCTCCCTGTAAGAGCTACATGTTCTCGTGAGCACGGGCCTAAGTACTTAAGATCTGTAACTAGAAAACTGAGTCAGCCCAGCAGTGGCCTGGCCTGTGGTCTGCGTGTTCCAGAGGCTGGGCCTGTAGCCTCTGTTCAGAGCCGTGTGGGGATGGTCCTCGGCTTCTGGACCCTGCCTCCCGCCCTCCCCTGCTCCTGGCACTCGGAGCACGTGTCAGCAGTCCTTAACTCAGTGGGCTGCTGTGCTGTGTCACTGCAGGAGGCGGTGGCCCACCATCTCTGTTGGTTTATGGAGTGATGGTGTCATCCTTTCTCCCATTGTCACCTGGACTCAAAGCACATGTGCCCCAGCTGGGTCCCGGCTGTGCTTGGTCGTGGTGGAGGCTGGGTTGTGTAAGGCTCCCTCAGAGACAGGGGGACCCCGGCAGAGAATTTTGGAGAAAGGAAAAAATCTGTTTACCACCAAACAGGTCCTGATGTAGGGGGTTGTTGTACCGTGTTGGTGGAGGGCTCTGCTGGCTTTCGGTCCTCTGATCAGCGGTCACTGGCAGCCTCTCCAGCTGCTTTAAAAGGGGTAGAGTGGTTAGAATGTGGTTTTGTCAGTCTAGACTGTGCTGTGCTGCTCAGATGATTCCTGAGGACGGTGGCCCATTTAGGGTCTTGACCTCAAGAGGGACAGTGACAGAGGCTGGCCCTGTGGCTTAAGTTTGTGTGCTCCCCTTCAGCAGCCCAGGGCTTCGCTGGTTCAGATCCTGGGTGTGGACCTAGCACCGCTCATTAAGCCATGCTGAGGTGGCGTCCCACATGGCAGAGCTAAAAGGACCTACAACTAGAATATACGACTAGGTACTGGGGATCTTTGGGGAGAAGAAGGAAAAAAAGAGGAACGGTGACAAACTGGGATGTGTCCAGATGGATGTAACCTGAATAGAGAGGGATCTGGAGAGCAGCTCAAGGCTCTAGGGATGTTTTGGCACAAAGAAGAGAAGAATGAGCAGGAGTGGATTGTTGCCTTGAGGTATTTGGAGGGCTGAGGGAGAAGGCAAGACAATGAGACTTTGCTGTGTGGCCTAAAGGCCAGAGTGTGGCAGATGCAGAGGAGGTTTCAGCCTAGTGTAAAAAAGAACTTTGTAAATATGAGAGTGGTCTAGGGCAAAAAGGAGCTGTCATTGGAAGTAGTGAGCAACCCATCACTAGAAGTATGTAAGTAGAGCTTAGGTGGCTACTTGCAAGGCTGCTGTATAAGCATATCAAGAATCAGGGCCGGCCCAGTGGCGCAGCAGTTAAGCATGCACCTTCTGCTTCTTGGTGGCCCGGGGTTCCCCAGTTTGGATCCCTGCTGTGGCAGGCGTCCCATATATAAAGTGGAGGAAGATGGGCACAGACGTTAGCTCAGGACTAACATAACAGATGTTAACTCAGGGCCAGTCTTCCTCAGCAAAGAGAGGAGGATTGGCAGCAGTCAGGGCTAATCGTCCTCAAAGAAAACAAAAAATGCAAGAATCAGAAACATGACTGGATGATCTTTGAGATTCTTCCTTGAAATTTATGATTGAGCCCTGTTCCCCAAAAAGGCTTGGGAGGTGATTCACTCTGTGGTCTGGGGGCTGAGGGAGAATGCTTCCATGGTCCTGGAAGCTTACAGGGTTGGGAAGACTGGGAGACCCAAGCAGCAACCAGAGGCGCCCGCACCCCCGCCGCGCATCACGGAGAGCCGGTGCGGCTGAGCGGAGAGGGCGCGGAGGGCAGATTGCTCACGCCCGCGAACTGTCGGAGGACTGCTGCGTGGCGCCACTGCCCTTCCTCACCCTCCCTCCGTGTGTCCCCGGATCCTTGCTTTAGCGGAAGTCGAGGAGGCAGAGATGGCCACCCCCATTTTACAGGGGAGGAAACCGAGGCCCCGGGGGGGGGGCGGTTCCTTGATGTTGGCAAAGCCACACAGCTGGTGTGGCCCCGGGGTTCGGGAGGAGCTGGAGAGCCCTGGAGGCCTCAGTGCCCTGGCACTGTGGGGACACCGGCTGCCCCCTGCCCTCCAGAGAGATGCTGGAGGAGGAGGGGCTGGGGCTGGGCGGAGCCTGGGGACAGTGGGCGGCAGGGTTCCCAGCAGCAGGGCGTGGCCGGCAGGTGCATGGCACTGGGAGGGAAGGTCAGGGCCAGCCGCTGGGGAAACACGGAACCGCCGGCCTGGAAAGGCTTCAGACCGTGCCGCGTTTTTCTTGGGAGCCGTCAGCAGCCTGAGGGAAGGGCTGTGGGGGCGGGAGAGGCATAGAGGGCCGAGAGGAGGATGGCCGAGCGTCCTCGTCCCCATTTTTCAGAGGAGGGCCCTGGGCTCTGCAGGGTGGAGCCACTTGCTCAGTTCTGGTTCACAGTCCTCTCGCTGGGACTGAGTTTCGCCCTGTGGGCATTTCCCAGGGCCACTCTCCTGCCCAGGCCTCAGGGCGGGGTGGGTGGCACCGGTCCATCACAGCTTGCAGGCTGGTGGGCAAGACTGGCAAGCCCGAGGTCCCTTCGATGGGCCATGTGTGAGGTGATGCTGTCACAGGGATGACACCAGAGGGGGAGCAGGGCAGCGAGGGGCCGATTTTGACCAAACGGATCTGGGAAGGCTTCTCAGAGGAAGTGGCACTTTACTGAGGGAGAAATATTTTACACTGCTTCTGCTTTTGAATTTAAATTAATTAAAATCAAATAATTCAGTTCCTCAGTCACACTGGCCACATCTCAACTGCTCAGCAGCCGCATGTGGCCGGTGGCTGCTGTGCTGGGTCACTGGGCTTGAATAAAGTGCGTGGCTCGTGGCAGGTGCTCATAGATGCTCCTGGGGCCGGCCCAGCCACGTGCAGAGGGGTCACCGTTAATGAGGAGGGTGAGTGACACTCTCAACCAGGAGGGCTTCTGGTAGTTTGGGGCTTCCACAGAAAGCTCTATTTGAATAGGAAATTCTGTGGCAAAAATAAACAGGATGGAACGCTGTTAGACTAGTGGACTGCTAAGGGCCTTTCAGTCTAGAAATTCTAAGATTCTCCCCAGGACGTTTGCCTCCAAGACCAGCCTTAGGGATGTGGCCACTGTGTCCGAATCCCAGATGAACGTTCTGTGGCGCAGTCAGCAGATCAGGTCCCCAGAGCCTCTGAGGGAGAGCTTGGGCTGGTTCAAGGAAGCTACAGGGAGGCAGATTAGGGCTCAGTGCAGGGAACAGCTTTCAGACCACACCCAGGCTGGGCCAAGGATGGAAGCATTATCTTGGAAAGGCAGTGAGCTCCCTGTCATTGGAGGTATGAGCAGGGGCTGGACAAAGGAGGGGCAGAAGAACCAAGGAAGGCATTCTGGTTTGGACTCTGTGACTTTTGAGGCCTGTTACAATCTGGGTGGCAAGTGTTTGTGTGACAGCCCTGTGTCTGGAAGTGGTTCTGCCCACTTGTCTTTCCCTCCTGCTGCCTGGACTCTGAGGCTGACATCCTCGTGGCCCTGACTGGGCAGGGGCCACATCGCGTTTCTGTCACCAGTCAGCCCCTTGGCACAGGGCCAGGGCGCAGAGGCGCTCCGAGGCTGGTGGATGGCGCGGGGCCAGGCTGGGGCGCTGCCCAGGCGTGAGCAGCAGCTCCATCTTCTGGTTGGGCCGACCCCAGAGCTTTCATGGAGAAGGCTGTGGGGCTGGCCTCGGGAATCCCGCTGAGCCAGGGGACAGAGCCTGGAGCTGTGCCTCCCTCCTGGAGGCAGCAGTGCTGGGGCTGGGCTTGGCAGAGTAGGCGGAGCTGTGAAGAGCGGCCATGGGTGAAAGGGCAGCCCTAGGACCCTCTGTTCCTTCCTGGGCCTTTGATCTCTGGAGGGGCCTCCTTCTGCCTGTCTGCAGGGCCCCGTTCAGGTCCCCTCGACCTCCCCCACCCCTCATCCCCCCAGAGTTGAAAGGCCCTGGACACTCCCGGGTCACCCGAGTGCGAATGCCTTTCACTAGCTCAGAAAGCCGCCCAGTCCAGCGCCAGCGCGGCCCGTGGGGGCAGAGCCTCTTTTCAGGCGGTGGAGGCTCCGTGGCAGGTGGCATTGCCGGCCTGGGGCCCTGGCCTGCCCTCTGCCTGGGGAGGGCCCAGGAAGGGCAGCCGAGAGCCGGAGGGGGCCTGCCCTTTCCGGGAGACGCCACGTCCAGCAAGAGCC